ATCAATGGGATGGAAGAGTCGAACTACTGGGAGAGGTTTAGCGCCTGGGTCGGTACTCACTGCAGAAGAGACGGGAGAGGTACGCCATTCTGTATACATGGAAAATGATAACCGGAATGGCACCAAACTTCGAAAGCGAGACCTTCAGGATTGAGACACCATAACGAGAGAAGGGAAAGACTGTGCAGGATACCCCCACTACGTAACAGATCTGCGGGCATATTTCAATCCCTGCGGGAAGGATCTCTTTCCGTGGGAGGGCCGAGCTGATTAACGTCCTACCAACGGATCTAAGAAAGTTTGAAATTATTCACTATGGGGACCTTCAAGAGACGACTGGACCTGCAACACTACCAGCGGCGAGAAGCAAGCAACAACATCGTGCATCAGCTGGCTCAAATGAAAACGGATGTGCGATAGTCAGAGGCAGTGATCCATCGTGGCCTGGGACTGCTACGTCCGAAACATATACTAAGGATACTAAGTAGGTATTGTATGGTATGCACGGTATGCGCGGTAAAATACACGGTACTCACGATACTTTAACGAGGCGTTGGTTGTTGTAGAAGAACTGGCGGTGGTGGGGGCGGTGCAGCGGATGGGGGCAATCGCTGCTGAAGAGCCCACTGCCCCCCATGCCCTTGCCCTCACTGCTCCCAAAGCAGGGGTTCTGGTCCCCCTTGCAAGGGCTACGCTCCCCACCATGTCCAGCGCTCGGGGCTGCATGACGCCCGGCGTTGGCGCCCCCCATATTCTCAGCCCCGGGGTTGCAAGACACGGAGGAGGGGATGAGACTATCCCCCGGGGGGAGGTTGGCGCTTGGCTCGGTGGTGTTGGTGTTGGGGTGGGGCTTGTCACTGTATCGTTGCTCGTGGTAGTTGTGAGGGGCGGCCGTGGCCACCCCACCGCCATAGAACCACACTTCGAGGTACTTGGCCAGCGAGAAGGACCAGGTGACGGAAGACAGGCGCACCGCGGGGCCCGACTGCCGGCACAGGAACAGTTCTTAAGTAAGATGTCCTCCTTAAGTGTGTACAGCAGAAGCAATTGAGTTTATTTATTTATAGATAACACGCCGCACGTTCCGCTCCCCGAGAACAAAGCGAGGGAATAACAAAGAGAACAAGATGCCTAACATGACGAGGACAACAACACGCCTGCCCTGCAGAGGACAACAACACGCCCACAATGCAGAGAACAATACGCACATCCTGCAGTAGGATCTCTGCCTCTCATATTACGGTCGATATGCTCCTAAGAAGTATCCATGCATAGTAAATAAGAAGAAGTATCCTATATAATAAGAAGTATCCTATATAATAAGAAGTATCCTATATAATAAGAAGTATCCTAGCTTCACTTCACTCCAGCGTATAAGTACTTCACTCCTTGATTTCTCACACGCTTCATCAACGTATTCGTATGGACGTCTTTCATTCTAACCAGCTAGACAAACTACATCATTCCATTCAATAAGCATGAAAAAAAAGATTCACGTACTATATCCCACTCTCCTTGTGCCTACGGCACAGAAGAGGCTCCTACTTCCAATAGGAGAGGCTCCTACTTCCAATAGGAGAGGCTCCTACTTCCAATAGGAGAGGCTCCTACTTCCTATAGGAGAGGCTCCTACTTTCTATAGGAGAGGCACCTACTTCCTATAGGAGAGGCTCCTACTTCCTATAGAAGAGGCTCCTACTTTCTATAGGAGAGGCTCCTACTTCCTATAGGAGAGGCTCCTACTTCCTATAGGAGAGGCTCCTACTTCCTATAGGAGAGGCTCCTACTTCCTATAGGAGAGGCTCCTACTTCCTATAGGAGAGGCTCCTACTTCCTATAGGAGAGGCTCCTACTTCCTATAGGAGAGGCTCCTACTTCCTATAGGAGAGGCTCCTACTTCCTATAGGAGAGGCTCCTACTTCCTATAGGAGAGGCTCCTACTTCCTATAGGAGAGGCTCCTACTTCCTATAGGAGAGGCTCCTACTTCCTATAGGAGAGGCTCCTACTTCCTATAGGAGAGGCTCCTACTTCCTATAGGAGAGGCTCCTACTTCCTATAGGAGAGGCTCCTACTTCCTATAGGAGAGGCTCCTACTTCCTATAGGAGAGGCTCCTACTTCCTATAGGAGAGGCTCCTACTTCCTATAGGAGAGGCTCCTACTTCCTATAGGAGAGGCTCCTACTTCCTATAGGAGAGGCTCCTACTTCCTATAGGAGAGGCTCCTACTTCCTATAGGAGAGGCTCCTACTTCCTATAGGAGAGGCTCCTACTTCCTATAGGAGAGGCTCCTACTTCCTATAGGAGAGGCTCCTACTTCCTATAGGAGAGGCTCCTACTTCCTATAGGAGAGGCTCCTACTTCCTATAGGAGAGGCTCCTACTTCCTATAGGAGAGGCTCCTACTTCCTATAGGAGAGGCTCCTACTTCCTATAGGAGAGGCTCCTACTTCCTATAGGAGAGGCTCCTACTTCCTATAGGAGAGGCTCCTACTTCCTATAGGAGAGGCTCCTACTTCCTATAGGAGAGGCTCCTACTTCCTATAGGAGAGGCTCCTACTTCCTATAGGAGAGGCTCCTACTTCCTATAGGAGAGGCTCCTACTTCCTATAGGAGAGGCTCCTACTTCCTATAGGAGAGGCTCCTACTTCCTATAGGAGAGGCTCCTACTTCCTATAGGAGAGGCTCCTACTTCCTATAGGAGAGGCTCCTACTTCCTATAGGAGAGGCTCCTACTTCCTATAGGAGAGGCTCCTACTTCCTATAGGAGAGGCTCCTACTTCCTATAGGAGAGGCTCCTACTTCCTATAGGAGAGGCTCCTACTTCCTATAGGAGAGGCTCCTACTTCCTATAGGAGAGGCTCCTACTTCCTATAGGAGAGGCTCCTACTTCCTATAGGAGAGGCTCCTACTTCCTATAGGAGAGGCTCCTACTTCCTATAGGAGAGGCTCCTACTTCCTATAGGAGAGGCTCCTACTTCCTATAGGAGAGGCTCCTACTTCCTATAGGAGAGGCTCCTACTTCCTATAGGAGAGGCTCCTACTTCCTATAGGAGAGGCTCCTACTTCCTATAGGAGAGGCTCCTACTNTGCTCACTGCTGCACCCTCACCTTGCTCGCGCGGTGAGGGCGCTGGGTGTCCACTGGGACGACGTCTGCCCCCCAGAGCCTCCCACTTCCAAGGCTTGAGGGCCACGTCATCCTCGTCCCTGTAAAGATCCTCGTCCAGCACGAACACCAGCTCCTCGTCAGGCTCGTCGGCATCCACAATGTGGCCGCCAAGGTACGCGGACTCTGTCGCGTTGCCGTACGCAGCTCTCTCATCAGCGCTCGAGCCTAGTTTGTTGAGGACGTTTTGGTGTGCAGGCGCAACGCGCAACTGCCCGCCACACGCCCGGTAATCTGCGTAAGCCACGCCCCTGATGAAGCTGTCCCCCCACATGGAGGACGTCACGAACGGGTGCTGCTCTCTGACCACGATCCTGCGCGTCGTCTCCAGCTGATCGCCTGTAGGCTTTTGCTCAGAAATGTTGCACGCATTAGACGCCGGAATATTGAGGCCAGTTCTCCTCTTCCCCTGCGTGCTGTTCAAATGGATCGAATAGTACAAGGTCTTCGGGAAAAACTTCCTGAGGGGGCTCGCTTGACCAGCCTCCGTCTCCCAGAAGGGCACGGGCTTCCTGATGTAGGGCGACGTGCAAATGACCATCTCGTTGAGCGCTTTCTTGAAGGCGTTCTTCAGCACGTCATCAAATGACACTTCGTCGACGACCACGACACTCAGGGTCCTCGAGCGAGGCACTACTTCACTGCGCAGAGGGTCGCTGCAGTCGTGGATCACTTCTGCCAAGGGACTCGGCGACTGCGGCACGGAGCTTCGTCCTCCGACATGGCTGCAGGACTTCATGTCTTTGTTGTCTGGCGCCACTTCGGCGGGTGTCTCAATTTTCTCCGGCTTGATGGTCGGGAGAGCCTCATCATGATCTTCCCTCCCTGCGTCAGCTTCATTGCTCTTCGGTATTCCAGCGTAAATGGCGGACGGAGTTCCCTTGTTTCCTTCTCGGTCAGCCTCATTCCCCTCGCCATTATCCAGATGAACAATATCAAAGTCTTCAGTAGAATCCATATTACCGAAGCCACTGAAGCACTGCGAGGACACCAAGGCTCGTTCCTGCAGGAGATAGGACCTCTCGAGCTTCCAGTTGTACAGGACGAACACCATGAACTGCACGACCTTCTTGACGCGCCTGAGCTCGGCCATCGTGCCGCCCCTGAGCAGAACCGTGCAGCCGAGGTGGGCGGGACAGCCTGTGAAGAACATCAGATGTTTCTTGACGGTCGTCGCAGCTTTGTCCACCAGAGGGCCGTCGCCTGGTGACGCTGGTGAACTCAAGTCTAAGTTCTCTTTGTTCTCGTGACTAAGAAAGCTGCTCCTGGAGCCGCCCTTCTTGCTCTCGCGGAAATATTGCAGGTCTGTTTTGGAGGAGGAGGTGACGTCGTACGTGCGGCAGTCGAACTTGTGACACAACCCCAGTACCTGCGCGGAACAGGCGTCCTTCTTGGGATTACAGGGAAAACCAACGATTATTAACTGAGCACATCAATCATTCTTCGGACTTTGGTAGTTCTCAACAATCATTGGCATAACAGGCAATCATACTAGTGTGAACGAGATCACTGCGTCCATTAGAACAAGGCTGACAACACAATAAATATTGCGTCCATTAGAACAAGGCTGACAACACAATAAATATTGCGTCCATTAGAACAAGGCTGACAACACAATAAACACTTCGTCCATTAGAACAAGGCTNAGCTGTCTCTTGAAGGTCTCCAGGGTGAACTCCCCCTCTCTTAGATCCCTTGGTAGGGCGTTGAACAGCCTTGGTCCTGCCACGGAGAGTGATCCTTCCCGCAGGGATTGAAGTCTGACTGCCGATCTGCTATGTAGTGGGGGACCCTGCACAGTCTCTCTCTTCTTTCGTTATGGTGTGTCTCAATCGTAGCTTATTCCTTTCTATCGCAACTCTGGGTTACCACCCCGAACACAAGATACGTTATCTGGACTGATGTGTCTTACTTATCCCTCACTACCTTAGTCACGTAACCCGATCCTCAGGTAGAGCATAATATAATGAGTTCAATGTCTTGAGAGCAACCTCGGAAACAAGGCTGACAACGCAATAAAATTATTATGAACCATCACCACGTGGCTGCCAGTGCTCTCCCATAACACCACCACCACACCACCACCACGCACCTGCCCCTGGTTGCAGGTGGTGAGGTCTGTGATGATCTCGGCCTGCGTGGCGCGCGCGACGGCCTCCAGCAGGCGGCGCTTGACGCAGAGCACCACCGTCAGCCCGCTAGCCTGGGGGAGTGTCAGCAGTGATGATACGGGGTGGTGTCAGCAGTGCTGATACGGGGGAGTGTCAGCAGTGCTGATACTGCGCCATAAGGGACCCGGTACACCCATCAATAGGACGTCACCCCAACAATATGTGTTTAAAAATAAATTTTTAAAGACAACACTTCTAAAGTATCCAGTGTCCCCGGTGTTACACATGTACAATGAAATATTAAAAAATTAATTTTTTTATTTTATTTTTAACATTAAAAAAATTAGAATTTTTCAAAATTATTCATTCTGCCAATTGATACATGCATTGTCTCCAACTTTATGAAAGTGTAAAAAATTTCAGATCTGTTGGAGAGGTAGAAGTTTGTTAAATATCGATCATAAGATTTGTAGCAAACAAACAACAAGAAGTGAAGTTAAAGAGAAGTCTTGTAAAAAGGAGCCATCACCCCAAAGAGGGTACCCGCAGGTCACCCGCAGGAGGTCCCCCGCAGGATGTCACCCACAACAGGTCACCCGCAGGAAGTCCCCCGCAGGAGGGCACCCGCAGGAAGTCACACACAACAGGTCACCTGCAGGAAGTCCCCCGCAGGAGGTCACCTGCAGGAGGTCCCCCGCAGGAGGTCCCCCGCAGGAGGTCCCCTGCAGGAAGTCCCCCGCAGGAGGTCCCCCGCAGGAGGTCACCTGCAGGAGGTCACCTGCAGGAGGTCCCCCGCTGGAGGTCCCCCGCAGGAGGTCCCCCGCAGGAGGTCCCTCGCAGGAGGTCCCCCGCAGGATGTCACCCGCAGGAAGTCCCCCGCAGAAGGACCCCTGCTGGAGGTCCCCCGCAGGAGGTCCCCCGCAGGAGGTCCCCTGCAGGAAGTCCCCCGCAGGAGGTCTGTGTCAGCAGTGCTGATACGGGGGAGTGTCAGCAGTGCTGATACGGGGGAGTGTCAGCAGTGCTGATACGGGGTGTCAGCAGTGCTGATACGGGGTATCAGCAGTGCTGATACGGGGTGTCAGCAGTGCTGATACGGGGTGTGAGCAGTGCTGATACGGGGTGTCAGCACGCTGACACCCCGTCAGCGTGTCAGCAGTCACTGACACTGCGCCATAAGGGACCAGGTTCACCCATAAATAGCACTTCACCCCAATAACATGCGTTAATTGCGTTTAAATATTAATTTTCAGAGACAACACTTCTAAAGTATCCAGTGTCTCCGGTGTTACACCTGTACAATGAATTACCAATTTTATTATGAAATAATAAAAAATTAATTCTTCAATTTTATTTTTAAAATTGTAAAAAAATTAGAATTTTTCAAAATTATTTATTCTGTTAATTGATACATGCGTTGTCTCAAACTTTATGCAAGTGTACAAAATTTCAGATCTACTAGAGAGGTAGAAGTTTTTTGAATATCGATTATAAGATTTGTAGCAAACAAACAAATGAGAAGTGAAGTTAAAGAGAAGTCTTGTAAAAAGAGAGCCATCACCCCAAAGAGAGTACCCGCAGGATGTCACCCGCAGGAAGTCACCCGCAGGAGGTCCCCCGCAGGAGTCACCCGCAGGAGGTCACCCGCAGGATGTCACCCGCAGGAGGTCACCTGCACCCGCAGGAGGTCACCTGCAGGAGGTCACCCGCAGGATGTCACCCGCAGGAGGTCCCCCGCAGGAGGTCACCTGCAGGAGGTCACCTGCAGGATGTCACCCACAGGAAGTCCCCCACAACAGGTCACCTGGAGCTTGTGGACGCAGGCGTGGGTGAGGGAGCCCTCGAGCAGCACCACGTGAGGGCGCGGCCTGAACGAAGCGATGCGCATCACCACCGCGCGCACGTTATCCGCCTCCTGCATGGGGCGTGTGTCCAAGTAGTGATATATATACCATGTATTGATGATATATATATATAGTGATATATGCCAAGTTTGTGGACGCAGGCGTGGGTGAGGGAGCCCTCGAGCAGCACCACGTGGGGGCGCGGCCTGAACGACGCGATGCGCATCACCACCGCGCGCACGTTATCCGCCTCCTGCATGGGGCGTGTGTCCAAGTAGTAATATATATGGAGATATATACCATGTATTGATATATATATATATATATATAGTGATATATGCCGAGTAGTGATATATATAGTGATTTACTAATGTAGTGATAATAGTAACGACGCGATGCGCATCACCACCGCGCGCACGTTATCCGCCTCCTGGGGGCGTGGCGGGAAGGTGGAACTGCTGCTACTACACATCAGTCAACTGAGCTCTAGGTATAGTAATAGTCTAGGCGGTAATAGGTCTCTAGGCAGAAATAGTCTAGGCAGTAATAGGACTCTAGGTAGCAATAGTCAACCGACCACTTGCGTGCCTTTTCTTTAATTCAACAAGAACCACGAGATGGTAGAGAGCAATTAAGGTAGCTCGACTAGGAGACCTCCCAACCATCTGATGATGGGGAGGTCAATCCGGCTAACTAAACAACAGATATAAGTACATTTAATCGAATCTAGTATTCAGATAACAGAAATATGTAATCTCGAGTGCTGAGCTAGCAGAAATCAGTACTGTATCTAGTACAGAGAAAACCGGATAACTGAGATACAGAGCTGAACCGGATAACTGAGATACAGAGCTGAACAGAATCAGGATGGATTGAATTGCATAAATTTGCCTCATCCTAACTGTTGAAAGACGAACTTGACATATTATTATTACTCTTAATTGACCGAAACTAAAAAGCTTGAACAGCATGGAAACTTTCGAATTGTCACCTTACGATGTGCATTCATGCTATAATCCATTCTCTTAATTTGAATTAGAAATATAAATTTTGTTCTAGAATGAGCAGGCACACTTTGCACATGTGTTCTAGACGTGTGGCGGCTGTGTCCGTCTGTGTGTAGCGGCTGTGTGGCGGCTGTGTACGGCAAATATATTCTCTATAGCGGCAGCGGCGACAGTTCGGGAGTTGTTTTCGATCCTTCGAAGTGGCAACGTTTTCATCACGTGACCCTGCAGCGTGTAATCATTCGTGTTCTGCATTCCGTGGAGTGACACCAATTGAAATGCGTCGCCAGTTGAGGGAGACTTGTGGTGACAGTGTCATGGGTGTGTTAAATATGCCTGGCTACAGTCGGTCTACTGATATATGATCGAGCGACTGGAGAAAGTTGATTTGGAGGATCATCCATTGACTGTGGGAGAGAACGCCTCGAAGGTTGCATTTCCGTAGGATCTGCGAACACAATACTGCACGAAGACCCGAATATGGCCTCCAGTTAGCTTCCTGAAGTAGCCTTCAGTTGGCCTCCTGAAGTGGCCTCCATTTAGATGCCACTAATGCAGACAGGCGACCACTGCTGCCAGCGATGCACGTCGCCAAGCAATGTTGACGCGGAATGATGGAAGGTGACGGACTAACGCAACGCAACAGAAACTTCATGCATTTAATTTAAGTGATTCTTCGTGCTTCGTACGCACTTGGCCTGGCTCCTAGCGACTTCAGGCTGTTCCTAGCTTTGACAGACACTCTCCGGATTTCCAGTGATCACAACAGACTGCTATAAATATGTGTTCGCAGCGGCCATAGAATCATGGCGTTGGAGTTGTGATAAATGCCTACGGCTGCGAGGAGATTACTGTAGTTATATGCGAAAAGTCTGTACTTAAATAACTAGCTTCAATTATCCGGCGTTCTTAAATGTAGCGACTTCAGGCTGTTCCTAGCTTTGACAGACACTCTCCGGATTTCCAGTGATCACAACAGACTTCTATAAATATGTGTTCGCAGCGGCTATAGAATCTTGCGTTGGCGTTGTGATAAATACCCACGGCTGCGTGGAGATTGTTGTAGTTCTATGCGAAACATCCGTACTTAAATAACTAGCTTCAATAATACGGCGTTCTTAAATGTAGACTGCATTCTGTGTTGTAACGTAAACTTGTATGCCTATCATTCTGCTGAAGTCTACTGCCAATTGTGCACCTCGTGTCAATTCTTTATTGAACCATTAAGTCTCAATCTCGCCAGCAAGCTTCACAACCAGCATTACCTCCATCACGTCAAGGAGAAGTGACAAAAATTTCAGTGTCTTAGATTGAGTACCGGTAGTTAGTGAAAAAAAACGGAGGCGTTTTAACTTGAATGCACTTCATATTTGGGACGAATGTCGTTGGGACGAAAGTAGGTACTTAATGAAGGAAGAACATAGGAACCAGCCAAGTCTGTCCGAGGTCTCGCGGCTCAGACCTAAACCGGCAATAACACTAGTTCATTCGAAACTAACTTAAACATAAGTTCAAACTTAATTAACGGCAGTTCATTCGAAACTAACTTAACTTAAACTTAACTTCAAACTTAATTAACGGCAGTTCATTCGAAACTAACTTGACTTAAGCATAACTTCAAACTGAATTACCGGCAGTTCATTCCAAAGGAAGTCAAGAGAACGAGTCGTTTGCCGACCTTGGAGCGCATGCTGGCGATGGGCTCGTAGTCGAATGCAGGGTACAGGTCAGGAGCGTCCCCCAGCAGGAGGATGTGTGGATCAGAAAGATGGGTGCTCATGGAGCGATGGGCCACCGTCTTGGTGCATACCACGCCATCCACCACGCGGCAGTCTGTCCGCCGACCACCAGGCAGCTTCTTGAAGCGGACATACCTGCCCAGCGAGGTGGTCAAGTGGTGGTACTACTTAGAGACCTGTCCATCCTTCTTACTTGGCGCTACTACCACTGCACGTACAGAGCGAGGAGGTCAAGGGGTGGTACTACTTAGAGACCCGTCCATCCTACTCCTTACTTGGCGCTACTACCACTGGACGTACAGAGCGAGGAGGTCAAGGGGTGGTACTACTTAGAGAC